AAATTTTTATTTAATCAGAAATCTTCAAAGACTAATGAAAAACTTCTTAGAGGATACAATTGATTTCATATCTCGAACTTCGGCTTAGAACTATTTTTTGAGGTAATTGTGTGATTGTATAATTTCAATCTCTGATGTATAAATGCAGGCTTTGAGCTTTAATAAAGTGTTCTACTTGATATCTTTTCGAGTCTGATAAGGTTCTAGTCTTTTGTTGATTTCAAAAAAATTAAAAGTAGGAATAGGACTAGAGCTGCTGAATCAATATTCAGAAATCTCCGTTCTTGAATTTTCAGATTCCAATATATATATATATATGTTTCAACAATTTAATAGTGAAATTGTCATATCTATCAGATAACTTTCACTAAAACTTTGAGACCTTAACCAATTGAAGCCACGTCAACTAAACTCTGCCACAATCCCCTTCATCTAGGCCCTCCTACTGTTACGATATTAGAAATAATTTTGGATTATAAAAAAAATCTATTTCACTGAACTGAAACTTTACAAAAAAAAGTCAAACAAGCATTAAACATACTTTGAGTAGGATAATCAAATCGACCAAATTGTTGATAAACACGATAGACATGTTAGTATAGCACATTTAACACTAATACATGATTCATCATCAGTTTTTATCGTGCCATTCATATTAAGCATATATCTAATCGGAAAAAAAATATCATTGATTAACAAGTTTAGCACTCATTTTTCATTATTAATCATTGATGTTGAATCGAATTCATCATTCATTTCAATAAATCAACGTTGATATGTTGAATAAGCTATTGTTTTAGAAAAAAAAAACACAAATAAAAAAAATTCCTTTTTTTTCTCAATATATACCTGTTTTTAAGGCTTCACTAACACAAGTTTTTTCTATAGATCCAATTTGAATTGAAATTAATAATTGATCAAAATCAAATAAATTTGAATAACGAAGTAATTGAATAATTTTTTAAATTAAATGTGTACTAGCATTTTGATTTTGATGTTCAAGTAATTGATCTATTAAAATAAAAGACAATTATAATGGATTGAAATTATTATTTGAAAGAAAACTTACCAATTACATTTGCCATTAGAAAACGTGCCATAACCATGGGATAACATATTTGCCGAATAGGGCATGAGATGTTCCTAAGAATAATTTAGTCATTGATTATATATTTCAAAAGAAAATTATTTATTGTTAATATTAGGAAAAGAAAAATTCATTCTCACTCGACTTCATACTTTAACTATCACGATAGTCAGTGAACTCCTATAATTAAACCATTCTTAAGTTGCATGAAACTCTACGCTCGATTACTTTCGAGGACGGATCGCTTCAAATCATAGACAGTTTCTCAGTTCGTATTTCGTCAAATAGTATTAGACTGCCTATTCTACATTTTCTGAAAAACATCCTCTCATGCTAGAAATTTTAACCGAAACATGGTAGGGCAATCCTTTTCTATGTTTCTATTCAACCGTATGATTTTTTTCTGATTACTTCATTAAAAAACTTGTCTTAGATGACAAAGATTTTTGTTTTACTTACTTTAATTTCTTTATCATTAATCGATCGACCAAGACTACGAAAAATAAGTTCATAACATTCTGATAAAATGGTTGAATCTTTTTCGGATGTATTACATTTGCTAATTCGGCAAATCACCACAGAACACCTAATCGAAATTAAAAAAAATCCTTATTATAAATTTAAGTCAAATAATAAAAATAACCTTTTAAAGCATTTGGTCCAACATTAGGATTATGTTTTATAATTCGATATAATTCAACTTGAATTCTTGTTAAATCTACTTCTTTTAAATTCTATTTTATAATTCATACAAAATTATACAAAAAAAAAGAATTTCTTTTATAATACTTTAACAAATTTATTAAGATTTTCTTCAGCAGTCAATCGTACATTATAATTATATTCATCACATGTTGTAAATAATGTTTCCACCCTAGCTTTAATTAATTTAAAATAATTTTCATTGTTACCTCTAGATGAGAAAAACATTCTATAAGAGATATAAACAAAATGAAAAACAGAAAAAGATCCAATTATTTACTTGATTATTCATATTTTTGATGGTGTTGTTGAAAGTAATTTTAAAAATTCAAGTGATTTATTTAGTTTATCCATGTTGTTTAATTTATATTCAATTCATTTATTTTAAACACCACATTATTTGATAATCATAACGAATGAATGAATAGTCGACTGAAAAAGCCTAACATCGATTGAATGTTTATAAACACCATTGACATTTTTGTTTTTTTCTATTAATAGATGGTGTTAGATTACAACTTTATAAAATAAGACTATAAAGTGAAAACCTTGTCATCAACCAAAATTCTTATAACTAAAATATAGTCTTTGCTACACGTTCAACAGGGATATGTTTTCATCTTGTAAATACTAAAAGTGAGTCTAAAGCCATTATTTTGCGCTAGTGTGGGTGTGGATCGAAGTACTTCATTTATTGACATCCCTCCATCTAGAGTCACACTCTTTGCCACAGCCATCGTCATGCTGCTCACCCACAGCCCACACTCACCACATAATATCTACTGACTGTGTGGAAAAAAACTTTTATGACTCCAACAACAATGAGAACAACATGAATAAATTCTTTTTATCATATTTCGTTTTCTTTGCTTTGAATGGCAATGCATTTTATTTTCGTTTTGTTATCTCTTGCTTGCTTGACACACAGAAACTTCGTCAACACTCTTGAAACAGAGAAAAGATAAGAAGTCTTTCATGCAATAAACGAAACGAGCTCACTCTTAAAACAAGTGGCTACAAAGATTACCAACAAAAGGAAGAAAAAAGCAACAATATCTATATATATATCCAGAGAGAAAAAGTGGGATGAAGTATATTTGTCTTCATATCACTATCGTCAACTAGCTTTTACATTTTTATTCACTTATTTTCGCTCGTTAATAAAGAATACAATTATCATCGAAATGGACAAAAAGAAATCAACATTAACTGCTAGTGGATCATCTTCTCCTTCCACAATAACTAAAACAAAAAAATCATCATCAACAACAGCAGCAGCATCACTACCAACAACAACGACAAGCAGAAATGCAGTACTTCCTCAAACTGCTCGTCGGATTCTTCAAAATTTTCTTTTGGTATGGCTCGATGCCAATTTGCAAGAGTCAGATAAGGATTTTAAGAATTCATTGCATCATCTTCGAAAAATTGTGGCATCTATCACAACGTTTACGGATGCCCAACAATGCGTTAATTTCCTAAGTGAAATCAAAAGAGAAAAGGTATTTATGATCATATCAGGTTCCTTGGGTCGTCAAATAGTACCAGAAATCGAAGCATTGCCACAACTGGAAGCAATTTATGTGTTTTGTGGTAACCAATCGGTTCATGAACAATGGGCTAAAAAAATAAGCAAGGTTAAGGGTGTATACACAAAAATAGAACCAATTTGTCAAGCACTTGAAGTCGATCGACAACGATGTGATCAAGCGATGATCCCGATCAGCTTTAATGGTCGTGATGCATTATTTATGTATACACAATTGTTAAAAGAAGCACTCTTGGAGATCGAAGATGACGATAAGAAATCCATCAAAGATCTGGTCGATTATTGTCGTGAACAAGATGATATTTCTGAAGATCAAATTAAACTTATTGAACGTGAATATCGTGCTCATACACCAATATGGTGGTATACGGCGGAGACATTTATATATCCAATGCTGAATCGGGGACTCCGACAAATGGATGTTGACATCATCCTTAAAATGGGATTTTTCATCCGGCATTTACATCAACATATTACCGAACTACATCGCGAACAAAAAGCCAGCATGACGGCAAAATTTCAAGTCTTTCGTGGACAAGGTTTGTCCATGGAAGATTTTGAAAAAATGAAAAAAACCAAAGGAGGACTTATGTCCTTCAATAATTTTCTGTCAACAAGTCGTAATCGTGAGATATCTTTCAAAAACTTTGCACGACCAGCAGCATTAAATACAAACTCAGTTGGCATCCTTTTCATTATGAACATTGACACGGCTATTTGTACAAATTCATCGACACCATTTGCTGAAGTAAGCAAAGTTGGCTACTACAAAGATAAAGAGGAAGAAATACTTTTTACAACACATACAATTTTTCGTATCGATCGCATCGAAAGAATTGAAGACAAGAATGCTGATCGCTTATGGCAAGTTAATCTCACTCTTGTGGGTAATCAAGATGATGAGCTTAACAAACTCACAGCACATCTGCGAGAAGAGTCCACTTGGGCAACAGGATGGGCTCGATTGGGCTTCATACTTTTTAAACTGGGTGAGTATCAAAAATCAGAACAACTCTACCAGATCCTCATTGAAAAGGCGCCTTCTGATAAAGATAGAGCAGATTACAATCATCAACTTGGCTGGATATATGATAGCATGGGCGAGTATTCAAAATCAATTTTATACTATAAAAAATCACTGGATATCTACAAGAAAATTCTCTCTCCAAATGATCCCAGCTTGGCTTCTTCCTACAACAACATCGGGATGGTGTACGATAACATGGGCGAGTACTCGAAAGCACTTTCATCGTATGAACGATCACTTGAAATCAAGAAAATAGCTCTCCCTCCGAATCATCCCGACTTGGCTTCTTCCTACAACAACATCGGGTTGGTGTATGATAACATGGGCGAGTACCCGAAAGCACTTTCATCGTATGAACGATCACTTGAAATCCGTAAAATAGCTCTCCCTCCGAATCATCCCGACTTGGCTGGCTCCTACAACAACATCGGTTCCGTGCATTATAGCATGGGCGAGTACTCAAAAGCACTTTCATCGTATGAACGATCACTTGAAATCCGTAAAATAGCTCTCCCTCCGAATCATCCCGACTTGGCTGCTTCCTACAACAACATCGGTTCGGTGTATTATGACAAGGGCGAGTACTCGAAAGCACTTTCATCGTATGAACGATCACTTGAAATCAAGAAAATAGCTCTCCCTCCGAATCATCCCGACTTGGCTTACTCTTACAACGGTATTGGTTTGGTGTACGATAAAACGCGAGAGTATTCGAAAGCACTATCATACTTTGAGAAAGCACGTGGTATTTGGGAAAAGACTCTCCCTTCAAATCATTGGTATATTTCACATGTGAAAGGAAACATTGAAATTGAAAAAAAGAAAATGTAATTGTTTTTTTTTCTAAACAAGAAAATAAACTGGCCATCTTGAAATCTAAGCTCGCCGAAGCAAGCAGTTGCAAAATTTCGCGCACGCGCGACCAGAGATACCCTCCGTATTCTGCTGGCTCGTACAGTGGACAAAGCCGGCAATGGTTAGGCAAACATACATCGATGTACGTATGAATAGTACGACCATGATCATCATCTTCGAAAAGACGATGACGAAATGGACGCTTCTATTCATACATACATAGATGTATGTTGTGAAGGCCTACCATCTGCACGCCTGCACGGGTCACCAACAGAACGTCGGATATCCCTGAGAAGGTTCAATTGTTTTAGAGCCACCCTCAAAAGCTCCATTAGTTAGAAAAATATTTTTGTTCTTCTGTTACGAAAAACAAGAAGAAGTAGAAACGGAAAGACGCGATGAAAGACGACGTTATGGAATGAGAATACGCAGCGCATGATAACAACCGGTGTTTGTCAAGCAATGGAATATTGAGTGCACGATATCTTTGTCGTCTTTAAACATTTCATGTTCAATTCGTCTGAGTTTTCATCTCGAATGTGTAAGAATAACTTGAATGTCGTGCACTCACCATTGTAGCAAACGAACGATGATTGTATGAAACGGCGGATAAAAACAATACATTCGCCGTCAATTTGAGTAATAACTCATACAGTGCATATCCTGAAATAGAGATAAAGAATAGAAAAAGGGAAAATTTTA